TGCTGTGTCTCCAAATTCTGATGAGTTTTCTACTCTATATATGCTACATACAGCATATTTGGGGTTTCTATGCCCAAAATAATTCAATGTCTTTTCCTGTTATTAATTTGGTTTAATTACTTGTTTTATTCTTAAAGATGCTCTCATTCTTCCAGTCACTTGGACTCAAAATCTTGAAGTCATCTTTTACCCTTCTTTCGTCTTCACACTCCATATCCAGTTTGTTCCTGTTACTTCTTATTTGGAAATGTCTTGGTATTACCTCCTTCTTTTGCTACTGCTGCCATCCAAGTTTTAGAATTCAAAATAAGACAAAATATTTAAAGATACAATGGCTGAACTTTTTCCAATTGGCATGCTAGATGATTTCAGAAGCCTTTGCTATTCCTTCTATCCCTTATTCTTTTCTTCAGACCAGCATGCCCATCACTATTACATTAGTAATCTTCCTAAAATACTACTTTTATTTTATATTCTTCTCACATTTTTAGTGACTCCCCATTTCTTTTGGCAGTGTTTCTCTTTGCAGGAAAATTATTATTGTAGACTTTTAGTGTTTACATAAATTATTTTAATTTTTAGTGATGCAACTTAAATATGTCCAAAAATATAAAACTAAATATAAACTTTTACACATACAACTGTATAACTAAAATAATTTACAAATTCATTACAAACAAAACTGTAAATGAATAAAATTTAAGTTAATAATATTAATGTGACAAAGGATGTTGTTTGCCAGAAACAAGCTTAGCATGAATATGGTACAGACTCTGAGTTAGGCATAGGCCTGTTCTACTGTGATCACTCAATTAGCCCAACACTTTTCTGTCTTCAAACTTCTGAGAAGCCTTTGTTTCTATAGCATTCTGTGACATCATTTGGCTTTCACTTGGTACAAATGTATCATTTGAGAAATAGATCCACTTCTATCTTTTCTCATACCTCAACCTGCTACAATTACAGTAGTGCTGCTGGGCCATAGTAAAATAGTAAATTAAACTGCACATTCAGGCACTAATACTGCTTGGTGATTTGAGGTTACTAGGTGAGCATCCAGATGATCTGGTATATGTTGTGTTTGTTTAAGAGACGGAGCGAGACAGAGTTTTAGTTGACTCTAAAAAAAAAATCTTAGAAGATTTTTATAGTAGCATCTCAAAATCAGTCCCTGCGCCCAGAATCTAGAGACCTCGTTATAAAAATCACTCATCTGTGGGATAAAGACCATATTCCTTATGTTGACATCCAGGGCCTTCATCAATTGGGATTAAATCTCTTTTCCTTTTGAATTTTGTTTTTGTTTTTTTTTGTTTTTGTTTTTTCCTCACTGTCATGTGAACATGCTCACACTTTCCCAGATATGTGCCTTCTCTCTCGTACCTATGTAAGCCCATCTGTCTGTAGCCTTTAAGAACCATTCATGCCTTCATTTCCCCTTGAAGCTTCTGCCTACCTTTTCAGTTATAATTTGATTTTTCTCCTTCTTTGAAGTCTTTGAATTGCTTCTGTATCTAGTACTTTGAAATTTCATTTTTTTGTGATGTTATTTTTAATCGTTTGATTTTTATGTTCACTACATCACTAAACTTCAGGGCCCTTAAAGGCAAAATAGTATCTTAAAAGTTTTTTGCATAATTCACAAGACTGTTGTTGATATTCTTAAAGCGCTTATTAAAGGAATCAAATGATTAAATGTAATGCTTGGTATTAGGGATTTGGTTTCTTTTGCAAAAATATGTGTTTTCTTAAAATAGAATATCAGAAAAGTACTTTGATGTAGAAAATTTGCATTTCTAAGAAACTAAAATGCCTTAAAATGTTGTATTTTTGCACCTGTTTGTTCTTCATTTTCAGGACTGTTGGGGAAGATTGTGATGGCTATCCGAGATGCAGGTTTTGAAATCTCAGCTATGCAGATGGTAGGTAGTTGACAATAAGCCAAAATGTATTGGGGAATTTTTTTTTTTTTTAAAATAAGCTTTGAAACGTTTTCCGTTGAATGTTCTCTGTGCAGTCATGAACTCAACATATTAAAAACAAAACATTTACCGAACTCAGTAACCTTCTTATCATAGTTATATGGTTTTACCCATATAATCTTTTACTGAGAAAAGTAGTATTCAATTGATATATTTAATTTAAGCTTATAAGGTAAGTTTATACAATTATTGAACTTTAGTTACAAAATAAATAAGGACCCCAAAAATGTGTTTAGTTCCTATAAACAAAAAATAGAATCAAAGTGAGCAGTCATTTTTCTATCTTCTGGATTCCTAAGTAGATAATGAAGGAAGAGAATCAGTTCATATTTCTTTCCTGACCAGTGCCTTTTGTTGGTTTCTGGACTTTCCCTCAGGACCTTCTTGGAAGTTAGTGTATTTCAGCCCCTCTGCTGGCACTTGTACCACTGGACCTCCCTCCAGAGCCCACATTTGTTCAACATTGCTCTGCTTACACATTCCTAGAAAATCCTTCACTGAAGAAACAACGTCTGCTCTGGCAGAGGTCATACCTTCCTGCTGTACTCACTGGTGCATTTGAAAAGAAATAATTTGGGTACCAAATTACTATATGAATCAGATAAACAATTTGGTTTTTGCAATGTTTGGAGCCCATCAAGTTTATGCCTTTTTGATAGTGAAGTACCAAAATACTCATTTTGAAGCTGATAATTTTCTTACCAATATTATTTATATCCTCTTTTTCTGAAAAGAAACTGCTTTTGATCTCTATAAAGTGTTAGGATCACTTAAAATCAGGGGTCAGGTCATAAGTTGGGGTTCTGCCTATTTTGTGCCAATAAGCCTAAACGAACAAAATAAAAAGTTAGAAATATCAACTAGCTTGCAAAGTCATCAAGCAAAACTTGTAGACTGATCAGAAGATTGATATTTAAAGAATCTTACCTATGATTATAAAGAAATTGTTAGTGAAAACTTTCTAAAAGTATTAGCTTGGTGATGTTTTAATGAGATTATAGCATGGTACCTAAGCCTACTTCAAAAATAATAACTGTAGAAATTTTAGTTTGGAACATCGACCTAACTTGAAGCCTATAACCCAGCACAGTGATTGGCTATAGTTGGTACTCAGTGAAA